GAGGTCCCAGCGAGAACTGCTTCAACAACCTAGCTGAGCGGCTCTGTAAGGCATCACAGTGCTTTAATTTCCAATTGTGTTCTTGAGCTCTTGTTCCACCACGTTTCCTGGCATTATCCACTGGATTAACTACTTTGTCAGTAGTTTTCAGGATTTTTGAAAAACCAGACCCTTCTGAATTTATTTTCTGCGGCAGGAAAATGAACAAAACTAACTTGTGTTAACCTGATTGTACATAACATTGGCTAAGGAACAATCTGGTTACTTTTCTTTGATCTTTTTTCCAGTACAGTACAACCAGATTATCCAGGATTGAAGGACACACTGGAAATTATGCACAGGTACAGTTAAAACAGGGGAGTGCTGTATTTACAATAGCAGTTATTTTTTTCCATATAACACTAATTCTGGAGAGCCTCAGTCCAGCAGGTTTTAGGTTCCGTGCACTTGGAGAAAGGTGTTAAAGCTCTCTTGTTCTAATACTTAACGTAATGACTTAGTCAAGATTTGGGATGGTATGAAATCCTGCAGAAACTGCGGCCCTCCAGGGTAACACTGGAGCCCCCGGTACAGCAATACTTCCGTACTGCAGCGTTAAGGCTGTTCGTGCAGTTGCTCTTTCAGGAAACTTTCAGGCATGATGAGATTTACGGCATGGATTTCAAATCAGCCGCAGGATCCAGGAGGGAAACGACTCCTGGACATAATACATGTTTAGGTGAGGATTGCTTTAGTGCATCAGCTGAGTCATCCTCGACTCAGGACGTGAGCGTCACAAAACTGTGTACAGTTTTTAAAAATAATTTCGCATTTAAAGCGAAATACCCACATGCTTTCTCCAGACGAAGCTTCAATACAGTGAATGCGACATGTCCACAAGGTGGCACTGCTACATTTCCTAAAAGAAACTTTTTTTTTTAATCGTCATTCTGAAATGCTTGTGCAACACGTCAGGTAAATAATATCAGTTTCATTTCATGTCTTTCAAATTGTGCGGTCAGTACAGTGTCATTAATCCTTATTAGATGATTACACGAACGAAACTAAACACCATACAATGAGCACAGGAAGACAAACAAATCAGAAAATGCCACCCGACCCGATAAAAGACCTGCACACAGCCAGAATACAACAGATAGAATGAGAACAGTCCACTGTGGTGTTTCACGCCCTTTCAATTGATTTTCATTCTGATCTTGCAAGGATTACAGTTATGGCTAAAACTGTGTCTACAACAATAATATTTATTATGGTGCAAAAATATTCTGATTCACACAGCCTAGCAAAGAGAGATACCACAGAATAAGGAAATTGACAGAGTGCTAGCACGTGAATTTAGGGTACTGTATATTATGAACACAAGGAGAACGGCAAACAACCAATAAAAAGCATTGTGACAAACCCGTAGAGACACAAGCAATGAAAACTCTGTGATTTCAAATGTTAAATTGGTAGGACTTGCAGTTGTTTGTGTACAATTGCACCACAGATGTCTAAGAAATTAGATAACTCTAATTTAATACTCATCTGCTTGTCAAAATAAGAGGTCTGACCAAGAATTTTAGCATTTTGTTATTAATGGGGTAGCAGCTGTCCTGGACAAACTACCCAGCCATGTTGTTGAAACTGGTCTAATATTGGAATTCAATGTTTTTTCTGAAACTGGTATCCAGTTGTACAATAACACATATTAAATCTAATTATACAGGTACTATCACATTTAACACTGGAGTTAAATGTGCAGTTTTAAGTGCTCCTAGTCAGCCAGGTTTAATAAGAGTGAAATATTTATAATTTAATCTAATTGAACATTGGTTTCTTGGAACACATTAATTCATATTGAATTAAATCAAATTTGTATTATTTATTTTCTTACTATTTATTTATTTTACTTGTACCTTCAAGAGAAAAAAAAAGTGGTGTTTAAAATAAGCCCACTAACGTGCTTTCTTTTCTACCTCAACATATTTCGCTCAAGATTTTGTTTTTGTTGTCTTTAGGAAGCCTGGTCTTTTGGTTCGGAAGCTCCTACAGTTGCGCAGTTAGGATTGAGGGTGTTTGGTCTGGGATTAATTTGTGGCTTGTCATTTCATTCATGTTAGTTTTTTGCACACAGCATGACTGCCTTTTCTGGTTTCACTGCTGTAGTGCATCACACGTCCCGATTCTTCTTGATCTGAACATGAGAATTGAATGCATCTGGACACACTTACTTCATCCACAGCTCTTGTTCAGTATTACCACTGCTCTGTGTAAGAGCCTGAAGAGCTTTCAGCCTCTGTCCTGTGGTTTCACATCTTCATGTGTTTCACTGGCTGAAATGGATGATGTGTCGATTGTGGTTTCTGTATTGCTTTTCCCATGAGATCACATTCTGTACAAATTAAAGAACCTCCCATGTTCTTTCACACAGGCTCCCCGTCTGAGATGCTGGCTTTTCTTATGCGAGATATTGATTGTTAGGGGAGTGGATATTCCATGCATTTCTGTTTTTAAGTTTCCTTTTCGTTTGCAATTCTCTTTTTGCCGCAATGAATAAAAATGCCTTAAAGAGGAGCTTCCTCTTGGCCAGGAAATCACTCAGATCATCTTGTGATCGGCTTGCAGGCCAGGCCCCCTTCCACAGAACAGCTATGTGCAAGGCCTGCGCGTGCGCAAGTGTCTCTGGCTGTGTGCATGAACGAGCTGTGACCCAAGCCAAGCATCTGCTGGGGAAACCGCTGCGTGTCATCCAGGCCAATTCTGCACCTGGTGGCTGAAGTGAGTCCCTGCATATTTTTGAACTGCTTTGTGATCTCTAGGGATGAAAGGTGGTGCAGTATAAAAAATGAAAGGAATTTATATTATCCACGAAGAACAGAGAAGAAATGGATTAACTGATGCAAGAATGTCGCTGTGGGCTCCTGCTCTTTCAGTAGGCAGAGCCAGAAAGGAAGCTGAGATCAGAAGATCTGGCATGTGATCAAATTACTGGTGTAGGAATGAGCAGTTTAGGTTAATGGGACTTTCCAGTTGAGCCTGTTAGAAACCGTAAACATCTGAAATGAAGGAGAAGTAACCGTGTGAAGCAGTCAGACTATTAAACTAAACCAGGTCTACTTTAATTGAATGTTTCATAGCAAGACCTTTAAATAATTCCCAAACCAAATACACTGACAAACTTTTGACAAGAAACAACACCATGACACCACTTCAGAGACTCCAAGGAAGAGTATGTTCACGAAAGCAAAATGTTTTTGAAAGCAAAAATGTTTTCTGAGAAGTCTGGTTATTGATGTTTGGAAAGCTGAACTCAGGAAATCCTCTCCCACAGACTTAAATGAAAGAAGAGGTTGGGGGGTGTTCAAAATCCTGTTGATGCAAATGAAGTGAAATTTTAACATGCAGGAAGTATTTTTAGGTAACTGAGGGTCATGAATGATAATATGCGTAACAGAAATTTGAAAAACCAAAATAGCACACCAACGTTCAATATTTTAAGACAGGGTTTCAGATCTGGCATGAGTCATGGGTGCCTGTTGACTTCTTTTATTTTGGAAAATTAAGTAGGACACTAAGCAGCACAGTGCTGTAGTGGTTAGCATGGCTGCCTTGTAGCCCTGGGGCCCTGGGGTGCTATCTTAGTGGAGTTTGTACTGTATGTTCTTCCTGTATTTTTGTGGGTTTGCTCTGGGTGCCCCAGTTTCCTCCTACAGTCGAAGTACTGGTAGGTTAATTGGTTTCTGGAAAACTGAGCCCTGGCATGAATGTGTGTGTGTTTGAGTCTGTGTGTGCCTTCGACGGAGTGGCGTCCAGTCCAGCGTGTATCCTGCTTTGTGCCCTTTGCCTGCTGGGATAGTCTCTAGCTCCCCTGTGACCCTGTATTGGATAAGGCAGTGGGTGGATGGTCATATACAAGACTGGCAGAAACAAACTTTTCTTTAGGGTCTGAAGGCAAAAGCTTTTATTATACTTCCTTTTGACTTTTACCCTTTATAAAAATATACTAGTAGGGCTGTCCAGTCCTGGCCCAGTGAGCCTCTACAGGTTTTTATTTCACGTCAGTTCTTAACAGGCTAAATCTGCTTGTTATTGGGTTAATTGGGCCAATTTAACAACTTCCATGAGCTCTTCAGGTACTGATGATCATTATAAGACGTAAAACGTAAAACAACTTGCAGATACAGGGTTTTTCCATGTACGGGTTTTAAAACATCAACAAACATCTGCAAATTCTTCCTGATTAAGACATGGATTGATCCCATTAACAAGACAGGGGTCTACAACCCTGCTACTTGAGAGCTGTAACCCAGCTCTAGTCTTCTATGTTACCAGTTTCTAACAATTGGCAACACCTGTAAGGCATTCATGAAATAAGCGCCTCATGTATTCAATTAAGAGTGCTTTAATCCTAGAGGCCCTGCCGGAAAGCGCTCCGGCTCCAGGATCCAGGTAGTCCAGTCCGGGGTTGGAGAGCCCAGCTCTGAACAACCGAAAGGCAGCGCTCGACTCCAGTTTCACCAACAAAGGGCTTCGCTCCAGGCGGACGATGAATATTTAATGAAGCTAAAAGTTCTCATGCTAAATTCCCGGTTATTAATTTAGCCATGAATAATTTATAAACAAAGCACGGGAATGAGACAGGACAGTGCAACGAAATGCGGGGGCAAACAGGCAAACAATTCTTTCTACCTCTGTCCCGTCCGCCCCAACGAAAATATCATATTAGTCCTGAAGCCGTCAGATGTCACAAGAGCTGTCTAATTTCGGTCACCTGTCAGTTTCGAGGTCGGGATATTCTTGGCTGTTTCAGGCCGCTCTACACAAGTCGGATACACGTGAATGCTGTGCTCACCTGCTTGATCTCATCTCGCCGTTTCCAGTTTCGCTAAACCTGAAATATGAAAAACGCTACAGATGCTTTCGCAACAGTTGCCTTGATTTCGCCACAGGATACAAACCATGGGCTTTCTCAAACTCTCTATCCCCTCAGCTATTCCCTCTTCACGCCTCACAACCGCGAACTGAAATCATGCCGAAACACAGTCCGTGATACACGTCCGATAAACTATGCATTCATGTTTCCGTTTAGGACTTTATTCGAAATAAGACATGCAGAGCAAGACGAGGACATATTTCTACATCATCCGTGTGCCTTTTCACCTTCTCTCCACCTTGGTTCCGAATAACTCGCGGAGCAACATTTTGACACCGTGATCTCATCGCAAACCCCCCGATTTTCAAAGCTGCGTCACTACCATGAGTGGGACGGGTCCTGAGCGTCCGCTCCACCTGTCTGTGCACGGAGCTCCTCTTCGGAGATACTCGGTCAATGTTTCAAAGGAAGTAGAGGCGGTTGACGGGGTTGCACGTCTCATTGTCGTAACATGTGTCGCGCACGATGTCTTAAACACGAAGGTTGTACAGTATTTCTAGGTAGACGAAACGCGTCTAGCTCCGGCAGCAGCTGCGCTGGAGTCTGATAGTTGTGTTACAGGTGGTTTTAACACACTACACGCCCTGTTCTATCACTGGTTTTTCATAATGCGCTAGTCAGTCACATCCCCTGTGCACTTTCTTTCTTGATAAACGCTTTTTATAGCCAGCTTGTCCAGCTTTTAGAGCAGTCCTTCGTGCCAATTAAGCCAGTCTCATGCGGCACACACAGAGCACCACGCTGCACGGGACTGACGGAAAAAAAAACACAGAAAAGCGACCGAGTCACAGACAGCAGCAGCATTTGGGGGGCTCGGCGCATGTGAGAGATAGTCAGTGGGCCGTGAAACACTGTTCTACAGCTTAAGAGCTGAAGAGCAACGTAGCAAAAAATCACAGGAAGTTCATCGCTTCCTGTGTACGTGTGCTTTTTTTTTAATGGAAACGGCGAGATTGGGTCTGGAAACCTCAAGTCTCTGGTAGTCACAGGCGAGATTTCGTTTTGAAATTTCTGTTCGTTATTTTGTCGCCCAGGTAGGCGGCAAGCCGGGCGGAGCCGTGCCAGCAGCAGGTGTCTGCTGAATTATTCATGCCCAGGTCGGGCTGGGGCCAGGAGTCAGGTGTGCGCTGCATATTCATGAGCATGTTAATGAGCAGGTGGGTGTCTGGGGCAGCGCGGCAGGGAGCGCAGAGTCAGTGAAGCTGGTCAGTCTGCTCGGAGCTCCGCTTTTTTTACCCCAGACGGTCAGTTTTCAGCTTTCCCAGAGCCCCATGTCCTCGCCTGCGCCGGTTCGGTATTTCTCGGAGTCGGAGGTGTCCCAGCACCGCTCCCCCAGCTCCTGTTGGGTGCTGTTGGCCAACAGGGTCTACGATGTGACTGGTTTCCTCAGAAGGCACCCTGGCGGGGAAGCTCTGATTTTAAGCCGAGCGGGGACCGATGTCAGCCGACAGATGGAAGGACCTCCTCACCGGCACTCAGAAAACGCCAGGCGGTGGATGGAGCAGTATTACATCGGGGAACTGCGCAAAGACCCTGGGGACACGCAGGTACGCAAGCCACCAGCTGTTAATTTCATCAGCTCTTTCGGTCTAGAGGGCGTTTATTTAATTTACCATTACTTCGTAATAAAACGTAATTAACTAAATCGGGAAGTCTTGCGACCAGGCTGCGGCGCCAGTCAAGTCAGAGCCGACGATATCGAAACACCGCTGCGGCTCCTTGAAACTCAAATTTAACGTAATTTGGACAGACTTTTTTAATTATTTTTTTTTGACGCCGGTGCCAGCAACCTCCTGTCCAGACGAACTTTGTATGAAAAAGGCAAACCGGGCACGTTAGTTCCCACACCCACGCCGCAACTTACAGCCAAATAACCCATCTGCCAAAACGGAAAGCATGGAGAGCCAGCCCCCCTCTCTGTCGCCTGCAGGTGCGATGTGGTTAGCAAACCCTGCACAAAAAGTGGCGGTTTTCAACACCACCTTATGGTCAGGGGTCTGGGAGAGCTCCCAGGGACTGGGTGTGAGTTTCCCGGCCGCCGGCAGCTCGGCCATGGTCCGGCACAAGTGGTTTACTTTCTCCGCTGCCGAGAGTCGCTAGCAGGGGAACGGGCCAGTGTGTCTGGGCGTGTCCTACCTGCGCAACTCGTATCGCAGGTACGCGAAACAGGATCATAACTAGGAAATAGTTTCGGGGCGAAGTACGCATCTGAGCTCAGCGGGTCTGGGAAGCTCTAACCAATATGCGAGGTCTTCACGGCAACAGCGCTTGACTTAAAAACGAAACCCATGCCCGTGTTATCTCCTTTATTGGACATTACAGAATGTGTTCTAACGTATCGTTTTCGTGTACCTTTTATTTGCAGTATATACTTTAGATAGCGCCTGTTTGTAACTGCTTGGATTGCTCTATCGGTGTTGCGTTATTAAAGGCAAAAATGTAGCAAATGAACAGTTACTGATAGCAGCCTCTAGTTAAAGCATGTGAATGCTGTTAAAATGATCAAAATGCTCAGCGGTGATGACCATCATAGCACAATGGTTCATGTGGCATGGATCAATCAGTTGCTTAAGCAGGGAGACTTAACATGCTTTCTAGATATGCTGGTTGAGTGAAACCTGTAGGACTCTAGGACCAGGTGTGCAGAACTCTGGACCTGGTCACAGTGTGGTTAGCCCTTAGCACCTTTTACTGAGGGAGAAACATAGCAATTTTCTTTAGCCAAATAGAGTGATCTAAATATCCATTTACAGGTCAACAGTGCCAGTACTCCTCTCCCCTTTACTTTGTGGTGGTGTCTTGTAGTGTGTACTTGCGTGCCTGTGAGCATTAACTGTCGATGCAGTAGTAGCGTTGTGCTTGCGAAAAATGTAGTAGGAATGCACAGTATGAGTAGTGTTGTCTAGTCTTGGTTCTTGGTTGCAGGGTTTCATTCCAGCTCAGATCTGAAGCTAAATTGACGTATTGGCTAAATTGGACAAAATTAACAACTGCACTCTTTAAAAGCTTCATGTAGACGTGATGCAAGGTTTTCATGTATCTCTGTGAATCTCAGCCCCCGATGAGGACATAACATGTATTTAAATATCCAGTGTGTCACTGGAATTGAAATGGAGAAATGCTCAGATTTCTTTAGCAATGTTTGATATTGAATCATGCTATGCTGAGCAGACTGAAGATAAGCCCAGCTTTGATTTCTAGGCATTGTGTTCAGTTACCATTAGTGACTGTTTCTATGAATGACCTGCCTACACAAACCTTGTTTGAGGCTAGTTTTGGGAGAGGTCAGTATTTCTGTGGCATTTTTAGAACAAAGTGGTCCTGTTATCGATGGACAAACCAATTTACTTGATATGCGTTTTGTATCCTGAGTAGGGGATGACTAACTCCGTCATTCTGAAGACCATATCTGAATTACTGTTTAGATTGCCTACGTTACCACCCCAACTAAAACCCCCATGTTTTCAACATACAGTATTCTCATCTTAACAGAGTGGTATGTCATGAAACCTCATTTGATCCTCCTGCTCCTTAACTTAGTCAAACATTACTGGACCAATTTTTGCTGTGTCCTTTCATTCATAACAGCTGCATTAATATCTTCGGTAGCTTCTTTACCAAAGTAAGCACAGTTTATTTTTACAGATGTGAGCTAAATTCTTCAAATGTGTAAAAGGCTTTTTTTTTTTTTTTGTCATGTTAAATTGGGACTACTGGGCTAGTCTCGTCCCTGATTCCTTCTGCTCTAGATTTAGTTCTGCATCACAACAGTCTTGGGTTTGTTTTGACTGTTTGAGCTCTTCTTGTTTTGAAGTGTTAGATTCACTTGAGTGGAACAGTGACCCCCCTAGAGAAAGAAACTGACGGTGGTTACGGGAGGTGTGAAAAGATGAGATCTTTTCCCTGGACCAGTCCACATTGATAGAGATCGCTGCTCGGAAGTGTGATCCGCTGTGCTCTCCTCTGCCAAAACCATCCTCCGCCAGGTTACCATCATTCTCAGTCTTGTGTTTATTTCCTACAAACTACTTCTTGCAGATATCCTGCCTTCATACGGCTATCTGCAAAATGAACTATGGTAATGTTGAACATCAGAGGCTATCATTAAGATTACTTGGTAAGGGGTGATTTTGGTGTAGCTGTTTGTAAATAGGCCATGTACTCAGGCCAGTGTCATCACATAAACCTTTGGACTGTGCACTTTCCTGGAGTTTGGCACATTTTGGCCATTCTGGTCAGTATATGTCATGGTTTTTCATCTGTCTGTGGAAATCAATAATCAGACCTTGTATCGATTTTTGGAAAACATTATTTAAGTTATTGGTATACTGTTCTTGACATTTTTGCTGGTGGAACTAGCATAAACCACATTCATATAATATCATTTTGTGACCTCCTAGAGGACTTTCAACACAGTAGACTCTGTTTCCTCAGTGTGTGAGACAGTATTTCACTGGACTGGCGTTGTTTCACTTCTTAACACTGCCCCGGCAACTTTTCCTGCTGGTCTGGATAACCTTTTAATGTGTCTGACATAAATACGCAAATGTCACCTTCAGATAACTGTGCCTTTAAAGCACCAGCCTGCCCTGCTGGTGTATTCAAGCCTAGGTTAAAACTCATTAAAGAATGCTTTATCAAAATTTACCTTCCATTAATTTACACATTAATGCAGTATCAGTGTGCAAATGGCACCATGTGCAGCTAAACACAACTTCATTTATGGCTGACTTCTTAAAATGTATTTTTGTTTCTGCAATATATTTTGAGTCATTTTTAGCTAATTTCCCCTTCCCAATTTGCAGAAGCTGCAGTAGCTGATGTATTTAAATTTTGAGGGCCTAGTTAGTGGACAGCCAGTTTCTCTATCAGAGCAGTAGATTTTTGTAGGGCCTGCATCAATTTAATTGTCTGAACTCCTCCTGTGTCTTTTCAGAAACTCTTAGCTGCTTGTCCCCTTGTAATGCAGATTCCTATGAGGAATTTAGTGTCTTTTTATCTGTTTGTCCTTCAGGTCATTATTCCTGTCACTATTCTGTTAAACATTTAGACTGTTAGTAGGTGTTAGGCCAATGTGTTGCACAACAGACAAGAGAAAGAAGCACGCTTCACTTATCGTTTTTCTGAAAAAAATAAATTTTCTGAAAAAATTAAGTATTTCATACTGCAGTGAGTGTATTTGGCTGAAAATGTATTGGGCAGTGAATTAAGTGGAAAAGGAAATTTTTACTACTGTTTCAAAACTGCACTTTCCCCAACCCTTTTTAATAAAACTCCTTCAATTATAGTTATTCGTTTAAAACCTTTAAATGGTTTTGAGCTCTTGAGCAGGGGATATCTTCTATTTGTTTTGTGAATTGTTGTAGATCACTCAAGATCTAGAACTCCTCAAGAGCTGAAAAGGAAAAGCAGCTCTTTTAAAGCAGAAATGAGCACAGTCAAGTAACCGAGGGCTGAGCTGTAATATAAGTAAAAAAAAAAGACTGAGAGTAGAGGCCACAACTAGGGATGTAGAAACCTTGGAGAAGGAGGCCTGGGGCCGTTGACCTTTTCTCAAGAAAAGGAGAACCGGTTGTGCTAAAGGATAGAAAATCAGTCTCTCTGTGGACATGAGGCTGGGCTGTGACCTGTCTCCACTGTGGCTGAACCTGTCTGCCCACATGGCAACTGGTTCCATCTGGTTCCCGCCCATCTGCCGACCTGAGTAACCAGTTGGCGTTGCTTGGAGAGTGTGCCTGCTGTCACTCACTATGTTTTTTTTTTCACTAATTTTTCTTTTTGGAACAAAAATGTGATGTTTAACTGTGCTTCTAAATAAAATAACATGACAGCTGGCGCAGAGTCAAAACGGGAAATTCTATCAATAGGTAATATCACTCACGTTTAAAGGTGGAAAAATGTGAAAGTTCAGTTCAAGACATTGGGAGTTCAATGGTGCAGAGCTGAATGGAAGCAGGAGGAGACAGTGTGCTTGGATTTGGCATCGAGGTGCACAGGTGCTCTGGCAGCTGAGAGAGGTTTCCCTTTTTCCTCCATGGCGAAGCAATGGTTGAAAGTCTCATGTCCTTGTGTTCTAGTGATGACATAATGAGCTCATATTCAGTTTGTGACATAACAGTTGTAAAACTGTTTACACTGTGGGCTGATCCATCATGCAGTCTGGCTGGCTGTCACTCTGGGAAATGAGATCATGTCAAGCTTTCCTAGCTCTTTCAGAGACTAATGTCTCCAGTCTGCGTCAGAATGTCTGTGTTACTGAAGCACGTCTCTGAAGGGTGCTTTAGGATTTGTTTGTTCCTACGCAACATCTTCATGGTGGCGTAGGTGTTAAAAGGCCTGTTGCCAAGAGCTTCGCAGTTTAATGCCTGGTTCAGCCCCTGTTCCTGTGTTTTTATCCCAGAGGCTTTACCTTTACATCGGCTTCATGTGAGATCTTGAGCTGGGCTTCTGTTGTTTGTGTGGTTGTGCAGAGGCGGCTCCAGGTTCTCTGAGTTGATTAACATGCCTGCTAAAAGACTATTGAGCCTGCAGTAGTGAAAATGTTTAG